GGGCCAGAGAGGCCAGGCGTCAGGCTGGGGCCACGGGCTGACGGAGGGGGTCGGCCAGGGCTCCGGGCAGCCTTGGCCAGGAGGCTGGGCTCGCGTTCTGAAACAGGCTCCCCCTCTGACCAGCAGGTTGTACAGATGACTTAGCTGCTCTCGGCTTTGTTTCCTAATCTGGAAATTGGGGTTCAAAGGGCTACAAGGGCATAAGGATGATTGTATTTAATGAGCTGATGCGTGAAAGGTGTGAACATATAGCACCTGAAACTGTTACTGAATGAATCATAAATGGTAGATGGCCTCTGAGACCTGGGTTCCAAGCCTGGCTGCGCTGGTCACGCTCTAGATGGATGTGGGCAAGAAAGCCTTTTCACCGCTCTGAGCCTCCGTTTCCTCATCTGCAGAATGGGGACCATAATAATATCTATCCCATAAGTCTGCAGGGAAGACTAAATGTATGCAGACCAGATGTAAGACCTGCAGAGTGTCTGTAAAATGGAGCTCGTGAGGGCGCCTGCCTGGTGCCCTGGAGATGGGCATTATTATGACCACTCTCTGTCTTTGTCTTGATTAAGGTTCCTGAGTTTTCCACCCCAGGTTGGAGGGTCCTGCGGCCCTTCCAGGAGGCCTCTGCCCGGCCTCTCTGTCCTCTTTTCTAGGCGCTTCTTAACAAACGGGATCAGGCAGCTCCAAGCCGACATCCCAGCTAAGTCACTTACTGACCCAGAGGCTTTGAATGCGTCTCAGAGCCTCAGTTTCCAAATCTGTAACATGGGGTCGTTGGGGAACACAAATAAGACAAAGACAGACAAAGCCTTTTTAGGCTGTAAAATTCTCACAGGTATGCACCTAGCCACCTTAGCTCGACAGAATCCAGATCCCCTGAGAGGACACACTGAGTCTCTCCCGAAAGCAGTTTGAAAAAATCAGATCAATAGCAGAGACTCCATCTAAAACGCAACTTTCAAGGGAAGTCAGACATGAAACCAGTCTCCATCCCACATCGCATAGTGACAAACCTATTCCCCACGCACTCTGTGCTAAATGCCTACATAGGTTGGCTCGCTGCTTCCTCATGTGGACTTGTAAGTAAACATGGGTAGGTTTGTTATACCCATTTTACAGATGAGGAAACTGAGGCCCAGAGAGAGGAATTCACCTGAGATCACCCACTTCTCCAGGGCAATGTCTGAAATTCAAAGTCAGACCAACCTAGCCAGTTTCCAGTTCC